CCATCCAGTACATGTTGTGACAGACCCAGACCAGTGGGGTACAGGAGTCAGGTAGAGGGCAAATATACTGGTCACTGGATGAGTAGTTTTCTGTTCCCTGAGTGACCAGAGCAGGGGCTGCACTAGAGTAATCAGGAACCTGCTAGAACCAGTTAAGGCAGGCAGGCTAATTAGAACACCTGCAGCCAATTAAGAAGAAGCTGCTAGAATCAATTAAGGCAGGCTAATCAGGGCACCTGGGTTTTAAAAGGAGCTCACTTCAGTTTGTGGTGCGAGTGTGAGGAGCTGGGAGCAAGAGGCGCAAGGAGCTGAGAGGGAGAGGGTGTGCTGCTGGAGGACTGAGGAGTACAAGCGTTATCAGACACCAGGAGGAAGGTCCTGTGGTGAGAATGAGGAAGGTGTTTGGAGGAGGCCATGGGGAAGTAGCCCAGGGAGTTGTAGCTGTCATGCAGCTGTTACAAGAGGCACTATAGACAGCTGCAGTCCACAGGGCCCTGGGCTGGAACCCGGAGTAGAGGGTGGGCCTGGGTTCCCCCCAAACCCCCCAATTGACCTGGACTGTGGGTTCTTCCAGAGGGGAAGGTCTCTGGGCTGTTCCCCAACCCACATGGTGAATCTCCGAGGCAAGAAAATCCGCCAATAAGCGCAGGACCCACCAAGATAGAGGAGGAACTTTGTCACACTGTCCAAAGCTCAGGAGAATGGATGGACTATGAAAGCTAAAATACCAATAGCTCAGGCAAAAATGTGAGAGCCTAGTGTTATAGGGATAATTCCACTGATTTTTGCCTTTGGACTGTAATTCTGATTGTGACAGAGTTATGCTGCTTTAAATGTAAGCCTTCCAAAAGGGAGATTCTGAATATAAGACTCGGTAGTATATCTGATCTTTCCCCAAGTATGTTTGTCCAGTGCGACCTAGCTAAAGAAAGGCTTTTCTGTTTCTGAGAAATATTATAAAAATATTCTCAATGACCTTGCACACAGTTTTGAAAATGTGTGTTGCTCGAGAATTGAATCTTAAATTCAACCACCTTCTAAGGTAAGTAATCCCTATTCTAAGGACTTGATCTAGATATTTCCAGATTAACTCATCCTGTTGTTGTTGTGTTGATATCATCTCATAACTTCTGAGTTGTTATGCTTGATTAGATCACCTAGTCTGATCTCCTGTATAACACAGGCCAGAGAATTTCACCCACTTACCCCTTCACTGAGCTCGATGATTTGTCTGACTGTAAAAAATGTGCCTTATTTCTAATTGGAATTTGTCTAGCTTTAATGTTTTAGGTGTTTTCTAATTTAACTCTGTAGCCAGGCACTTTGCAGACTTAATTAGGTTTAATTCAGAGACCGAGGCAGTTAACGACAAGCTAATATCCCTGCAAACTTAGCTCCCAATTCTGCAACCTGCTCTCTGATGGAAAACAAACCACTGCATCTCATGGAGCTCCATTGAAATCAATGAGATTCTACGTAGTCTGTATCTGTAGCAAATTTTCACTGTTACTCTATCCTATATACTAATATGGAGCACCTAACGATATGGTATACTGTGTTCATTTCATATATATGACTTTGTTATCAGCAAATCATTGGTGGATGATATGAAGTTGTGAAGCATTGTCAATACAGAGGAGGATCAGAATATTATACAGGAATAGCTGGATGACCTTGAGTCACAGAAATGAGATGAAATTCAATAATAAGGTCCTGCACTTAGGATCTAATAATAAAAATTTCTCCCACAAGCTGGGGCAACAGAGGAGAAGAAAGACTTGGGTGTGTTGGTGGAACACAGGATCACCATGAGCCACCAACATGATGCAATGGTGGAAAAGGCAAATATGATCCCAGGATGTATCAGGCAAGGCATTTCCAGTAGAGATAGAGAAGTACTAATGCCATTGTACGTGGCACTGGTAAGATCTCAACTGGAATGCTGTGTACAGCTCTGGTCACCCGTGTTCAGGAGAAATGAATTCAAACAAACAGGTGCAGAAGAGCTACTAGGATGACCAGGGGAATGGAGAGTCGATCTTAAGAGACTGGAAAAACATGGCTCTTTTAACATAGCAAAAAGAAGGCTGATGGGGGGGGGGGGGGGGGGGGGAATATGATTGCTCTCTGTAAACCCTACAGAAAGTGAAGAGCTATTTAAGCTAAAAAAAAAATGTTGGCACAAGAACAAATGGACCAGGAACAAATTGATGCTGGCAATTAGAAGAAGGTTTCTACCCATCAGAGGGATGAGGTTCTAGAACAGCCTCCTAATAGGAGTTGTGGGGGCAAACAACTTAATTAGTTTTAAGAGCGAGCTAGACAAATTGATGAGTGTGATTGTATGTCCTGATTGCTTGTGATGGTAGGTGGCCAGGCTCACCAGCCCTCAGGCTCACTTCCAGTTTACACCTTCTGTTCCTAAAAGCTCATGTTTCAGGGTTTCAGCCAGACACCTGGAGGGGTCAAGATGGGATTCCCCCCCACAGACATACAGTATACTCTGGATTGGGTCTCCTTCCTCTGAATCATTAGAGATGGCCATGTTGGAGATGGGACACTGGACAGGGCCAGTGCTGTGAGGTGGCACCAAGCATTCTGTCCCTAGGGTGCTTGGCTGGCTGGTTCTCGCTCACATGCTCACAGTCTAAGTGGTCGCCGTGTGTGGGGTCAGGAAGGAATTTTCCCCCATGTTAGGTTGGCAGTGACCTTGAGGGTGAGGTTTCACCTTCCTTTGCAGCAAGGGGTGTAAATCACTTGTCAAGATTATCTGGATGTATCTCATTCAGTCAGCTCCCTGCCACTGGGGAGACCTCAGGCACTGGTGCAAATAGTCCCTCTTATTTTCTGCCTGTGGCACATGATAGTGTAGTCTCCTGTGGGCTGTAACAGTTTGGTCTAATTTTGGTTGTTGGGTGGTGGTGGCCTGTGATAGACAGGAGGTCAGACTAAATCATCTGGTGTTCCATTTGGCCTTAAACTCTATGACTTTCATGACTTCTGTTTTCCTGTCCTACTCAAAGTCATTATACACAGCCCTACAAGAGTCTACTTAACTATCTAAGTGTGTAGGAAAAGTCATCTTCATATTATATGGTACTACTTGCATATGTGACCATACAATTCAAGACTAAATTGTACCAGATATGCACTAAGGGGCAGAGTTAAGGTTATGTTACTTTAGCATTTCCTGATTTTTCAGTGCTTAACTTTGCGACCATAGCACAGTATTTTGTATGAGATTTCCTAAGTGTTTTTTTTTTTTTAGGAGAGAGAGGTAATAAAGTAGGAAAAAAATAAGAAAAGAGAGTTTCATTGTCCAGGACTTCAAACTCTGTTGGTTTACAAAAGTTTGTGAAGAGTGGTTGTGATTTTTGACTTTTAGAAGCACAAATCAGATTGACTGCCACTGATAGTTGTGCTCCTGAATCCCATTGACTTTCACTGTGCCTCGTGTGCCTAAATCACTTGCACCCTTTTAAAAATCCCATCTAGAGTGTGTAACTAGTTGACTATTGTGCACCAATCGTGTATGTCTGAAGGTGTTTGGCAACACACCACCAAAATGCCCAGCATGGTGCATTTTCAGAGATCTACAAAAGGCAGCTCCTCTCCACACTGCATTAGGAGTTGTGCTGCATCTCAGATGCATTGGAGCAAAACTCCTTTTGTGGGCTCTTCACAAAATGACAAGTAGCCTTCCTCACAGGTCTCTTTTGAAGTTAAATTAATTAATGTTGGTGAATGCTTGGAGATCCTAGGGTGGGAGGTGCTTTCTGTACAGTGTTAGTCTGCGTTTCTCAATCACAACCCAAAATTGGGATGGGGAGGCAGAACATTTCAAAGGGTTCACGCGATGGCTCCGATCCTGCAGGATTGGCTGGGCTCAGCTCCCTACTCTGGGTGTTGGGATCTGCAGGGTTACAGCGCCACTCAGATTTGGCCCAACCATCCCTCAGTCAGGAAGATGCAGGGGTGGGGGGCTGTGTCAAACTTGAGTGAGTGGCACTGTGAGCCCATGCACCAGGTCACAACTGTGCTCACAGATTTGGCCCAGCTGCCCCCCCACACAAGGGAGTTCAAGGCCAAATCTAAGCAGCACTGCAACCACAGAGGTTGCAACACCCAGAGTGAGGAGCCAAGCCCAACCAGCCCTACAGGACTGGAACTGCAGGAGCCGCTGCTGCGGGGTGACTGCAGGGTGGGATCTGCAACAAAGACCCCCAGGCCTCCTGCCCCACCCCCTGGGGCCAGGACCCACCACCCCACCACCAGCCTTTTTACTGGCCTTGTGACAGGCCCTCAACCTTGACAAATGGGTCCTGAGCTTGAAAAGTTTGAGAAGTTCTCATGTAAATGGCTCTGCAGGGTGGGAGGCAGCAGAGAACCAGGGCCCCCTGCATCCTCCCAGTTTTCTATCTATTCCTTTCCATTTAAAATATAAACATTCCCCACGTTTCGCCATTAAAATCGGATATTGTGTGGTCCTGAGCCCGTCACACAGGGCGCCGAAAGCGCTCTCGGGGGCTTGCAGGGTTTTTAACAGAAGATCAATACCTCAAAGGATTGGGCCCTCAATCCCTCCACCACCCACATGTCTTACAGGACTCTAGAACTGTGACTTTCTCCTAACCAAACGATTTGGGCCCAAGTTCTGCCTTCCGTTACAGCTATTAAAAAACCTACTGATACACAGGGATGATTAGACCTGCCTAGAAGTAACTGAGGGCAGAATGTGACCCTGGATAAACAATGCAAGTGCTGACCATTACCATGACTTTGCCACCTTTAGGTGCCAGAGATTCAGTCTCTCCTCTGGCCTTTCTGTGCCTCTGGGTAGTGGTCTCAGAAATGCAATGCATTCCTAAACTTGGATTTCCCATATCACGTGCTAATGTATGGGGCCAGCTAGCACTATGAAATGACAGTCCATCCTTTGACACAGAGATCTTGTGATGATGAGAGCCTGGCTCACTCCTCCTTTTTGTGTATTTCCTCAGGTGGTTGCACTGTCATCGTGGAGTCTGCTGCGAGATTCAACCTATTACACACTGTCTGTTGTTGCACTCATTGTGGTAAGTTTTTGAAAGCTATTATGATGGTGCTTCTGCTCAGGAAACCTAAGTGTCTCCTACGGTCCTCATCATTATTGTCACTGGGGACAGATTAAGACCTAGACACTATAATCTTGTGCCCTGGCTCCAGGAGTCATGTCACAGCTAAACCCCAAATACCCCCCCCAAAAAAAGCTGCTTCTAGCCTTCCTGGTTGCAAAGGAAAGCTTAAAAACGCAACATTGGTGTAATTGATACAGCAGTGCGCACTTGAATCTGCAGAGAGCATGAAACAATAGCTCTGAGAGGAGTGGACAGCCCCATTCGTCTCAATGGGATGGTAACTCTGAAACCCACAGAGCCTCCCAGCCCGGGTAGACAGACTTGTGTTAGTGGGGCTCACATTAGCCCACTGAAAATAGCTGGGTGGGTGTTGCACCAGTGGAGGCTCGGGCTTGCCACCGAAGCTCGGACCCCTCACACCTCCAGAAATGCACGAGCACAGGTCCCGCTAGCACAAGTCAGTCTACCCAGGCTGGGAGGCTTGCTTCCCGCTGCAGTGTAGACGTACTCCCAGAGCTCTGGCCTCCAATCAGGCCATGGAGTGAGTGCTTAGTCCTGTTTCGTTCCTTATGTGGGGAGAGGATGGAAGGATCTGTGCATTTCCGACTTCAAATTTGAGTCATTCCCCCCCATCCCCTTGGTCCTCTGGCTCTGCTACCAAGAAGCCCTCCATACACAAGAAGGGACATGCTTTGCCCCTGTGGGAAGGAAATCAATTCATGAATACAAAATGTTACTATGAGTCATATACATGCACACAGACTCATGGGATTTAGTGGGTACTAGTGCCAAACCCTACTGGTAAGGGTGCAAGATGGTTTCATTGATAACACCTTGTGACCAATTGTTATAATTCTCCAAAATATTTAGAAGTTGTGAAAATCAGGCCACTTATATAGCACCCTAACCGTGGATTTAGAAGCCAATGGCCTGGTTATCAACAGTGCTCCCTGTTCAGCTCCCATCATGTGCTGTGGGAAGTGTAGGTGCTCAGAACGGCTGAAAATCAGGCCACAAATGGAAACAATGTTAGCATAAGAATTGAAATGTGAAAACGACAGCAGTTAAATGGCACATTTTCATCCAAACTCGCACAAAGTCAGGAAATACAAAAGTTCCATTTCCCAGAGCAAAGCTGCATATTGCATAAATGTTGTTTTCATCTATACATTACTGTCATCTTGGACATGTTGCCTAAAATAAACTATTCCCTACTAAATAGGGGAAAGGGAGAGAGATCTTCTTGTGTTCACTTTAATACATTTGTAAGGTCAAGTCGTGGTGAGAAGATGAACGTTTGCAATTCCAAAATTTGTGTGACTGTAACTAGGCAACATTAAAGTTTCCTGGCTGTATTTTCTTTTGCCGTTAGCATGTGTGTGCTTGCATACTGGGTACATATTCCATGTGCATAGCTAGTCCCTCCCCTTGAGACTTCCAGCAAAGAGTTTGCCTCAACTTGTTTGAGTTTTGTAATCTCAACACTGCAAGGTCAGCCTTCTGCAATGTATGAAAAATAGCTTGTCTTCAATCTAATTCATACCTCCACACCCAGGCAAGAATAAAAGCAATGTAATTGACAGCAATGATGTGTGAAACCAACAAAGGCTGCTTTGTTACTTCCAGGGCTTAAGAATAATGAAGCACAAGAAAGTGGCTTTTCAACAATAAACCAACAACCCCATATATTGTAAAAAATTACCTCCCAAGGGCAGAAAGGCACGTATGCAACATCCCAGCCCTTTGATTTATTTATTTGTTTATTTTTAATCCAAAGGAAGCGTGGCTATAGAAAGCAGCTTTGCTTCTAACCTGATAGCGTTTGGATTGTGTGTTTCATTTGCAGAACAGTTGCAAATCAGTCAGGGGAGGAGGTGGGGGTTTTTTTGTTTGTTTTTTTTAAAAAACCTTCCAGTGATCTTTCTGCTCACAGGGCTTGGCAGCTTTCTTTTTGGATGCTTCTCAGCATCCTAACAATGGCCTGATACAATCATACCTTTTGTGCCATATCTAGCATATTCCTTAAACTAGGTATATAGCAAGAAACTCAGACATCATTAAACAGAACTCTCTGGTACCTGTAAACGAGGTATATATTACTCTTTCTTTCTGGTTCCTTCTCTCTTCCCTCACAAATGTCTTCCATGGAGGGCTATTTTTCATGGCTACAGAACTACAAAAGTCCTGTTCCTTGGGATCTTCACTCCAAAGGACTAGGATATTATCATTCCTTCTTGGGCCTGTACCCCACTTGCCCAGAGTCAAGCCCGATCCTCGGCAGCTCCTTGCTATCAATAGGGCTATGTCAATTACCATTTGTTAAATGCACATAAAGGGGAATGGGGGAATGGGGAGAAAGGAAAAACAGTTAAAATATTTAACCCCTCCGCTTGACATTTTCTCTGGTGGCATTAAAAGACCTTGTTAGGTCAAAAAGAGTCAGATTTCGGTGGTAGCACTTGTTTGGTTCTTAAAATATGTAGCCTGCCTTCCTCCCCTCTAAGACCCCACCTCCACCTAGAGACAACCACCTGACAAAGAATACACCGTCACCTTAACTCTGCCCCACAAGGGATGCTGGATTTCCAGACCCCCGTACCCCAGAAGCGAGTGGGTGCTGCCCCAGAACTATACCAAAGGGACGCCCACTGTTCTGTGCTGATGGGTGAAGGAAAAAGGGGGATGTCCTGCTAGGTGGCTTAACTTTTCATTTCTTTGCTTTTGAGGTTTTGCATCAGGTTGGTTACACATGCAGCACCCTTAAGCGTGCCATCCTGTAGCGTTTATTGCCTGAATTTTAAATAGTATCACTCAGTTGCAGAGGAACATGGAAGCCTCCTTAGCATAAACTCCCAGGGTGAAATCCTGGCCCACGGAAGTAAAAGGCAAAACTCCCATTTATGTCAGCAAGATGAGGATCTCACACACACACCCAGTCTTTAGATGCTGTTCCAGTTCAGTGCTGGGCTCCCTACTTGAAATCATACTGATCATAAATTGTACTTGTGTAGCACCTTCCTTTCGCAAGGCACATACCTGCTGGAATGAGTTCAGCCTCAGCACGCTCCTGTGAGATGAGCTAAGACAATGCATTGTCTTCAGGCCCAGGCACTACCTTTCCCCCACCATGCAGGGTGAGTTGAGGACAGACATTCCTAATGAAATGGTCCATTTTACTGGCTGCTCTGTGATTTGAAGTGAACCAGTTTCTCTCTTGCCTTCCAAAGACACGGTCGTGCTGAAATGAACATTTATTTCACATTAACCATGAAAATAACTAGATTAATGTCATAGAGAAGAAAAGGGAAAAGTGGTAAATTTCACAAAATACAGGTGCAGGCAAGTTACACTTATAACTGATCATTCTTGCTCTACCAGTCATCTGAATGTTCCCTTAGCCACTTTTTTCTATGAGATAAAATGGGCTTCTTGATCATTGAAAGAAGGAAGTAAATTTTCTTGGGTTAGAATAAATAAATCCCATATGATTATTGTTAATTTTGAGACATGAATGTATACAAACAAGAAATGTCCAATCACATGTAGGTCCCAGTTCAACAAAGGACTTAAGAACATAAAAAGCACATAAGTATGTGCTTTATAATAAGTCCCTTTGATTTAAATGGGACTTAAGCACATGCTTAACTTTTAGCACAATATGGGATCTTCTATAATGGATGGTGTTGTGTGTGGAAGGTATCCCGTGTTCTTTTAATAAATAGACTGTGATGATCTCATAGATGTGAATGCTCCACCATTGTTTTGCCTAACCATATATGTGTCCCCATTGATACTGAGTATTTTAAAGTTATGGGTTTAACATTAAATCACTTAAAAATCCAGGGATTAGATGTAAACTGGCTTGGCTTCATTTACACCAGCCGAGGAGTTGGCTCTATACCTCTTTTTTCCAAATAAAAAATCCACCAAGACCTTCTTTTAATTAGAGCTTGGCAAAACAACATCTAATTTCTCAAACTGTTCCAAAGTTATTCTTCATCCTGCATTAGAATGAAAAAAATTCAACAATTCCAAATTTTAAAGGGATACTAGCCCAAATCCTCAAAGGTATTTAGGTGCCTAACTTCCACCGATTCCCATGGGAGTTAGGCACCTAAATACCTTTGAGGATCTGGGCTGCTGTCAAAGTTGTTAGGCCAAAATATGTGGCCCACGGCTTATTTTCATTTTTATTCGCAAAGATGAGTGTGCGTGCTTGCGTGTCCTGTCACACCAAAACATCGCAGCCTGAAACTATTCTTGCCACATAAAACCCTGGTGAGTATGAGCAATAACCTGTGGTGTGCATGATATATCACAGCCACGTTATCTTCTGATAACCAATATTACTGGTGTACATTACAAAGAAAGAGATGTTTGCACTTTACAGAGTGTGCAGGCTAAGGGTGTGTTTCCCTGGGGTTTCCCTTTCCCTTGGTTGCTCTCTGGTACCATAATAGTGCTTTTTCATGATGGTGTTTTCCTAATGAAACTGTATCTCTTCATGTAGTGTAGAAATGAGGGCAAATAAAGAGCCATGAAGCTTTAGAATGGCTGAGCAAAAGTTTCCCCCAATCTAATAAAAGTTGAAACCAAGTACAACACACAGTCATTTCCTGGGATGTCAAGTTGTAGAGTGGCTATGGACTAAGGCTGCAGGCCACACGGCCCAGAGAAGTACAGCTCTGGCATTGAGGCGGTGGCATGTTGGCACTCAGCTATTCTGGGAGGATGCCCCTGGTCCCAGGTTGCTGTAAGCATGTCACCTACGCAGCGCTGGACTTGACAGGGTCACATTCTAACAACAGCCGTGGTCTGACACCGAGCCAAAGGGCAAAAACCATGGGGCCTCTTTCCTAGCTGTCAGGTAACATAAAATATGTTACACGATGTGACTGTTCAGCAGAACAGGAAGGCTGGATGGCGCCAAGGGATGGAGAAAGCAGGCGCTTTGGCAGAAGACTTCAGGATAAGCAACCCAAGGAAGCCCAGCTATCTCCTTGACATTGTGTTGCCACAACATCTTGTCATGGCGCATTACAACGTGATACCGTTCCACTGGCTGAAAACAATTTTGAAATGAGGCCTGGGGTTGGGGGTGACAGTGAGGAATCAGCAGGGAAGCCAGTAAATTGCAGATGTCCATTTAAAGTAAGAGTGCATGGAAAGACTGGCACCGCTGACTATTACCAGCACGATATCCACTGGCACTCTTTCATTCTCCTCTCCCATCTCCCAGAGGCCCTGTTGGAAATAAGCTGTGGAACATGAGGGCCATCTAGTGGTGACTAGGAAAAGCTCACCTTTAAGTTTCTACTTTAAAAAGTGAAGCCAAGGATAAATTGACAAAAGTCAGATGTAACAACTTTTGTGACATGAGGTTATTGTTACTCAGAAAGATCCCACACGCGGAGAAAGACATGTTCCCTGCCCCAGAAGGTTTTGTGTGGCGTTATTGTGAGGCCCTATTTTCACCGGTGTTTTGAGTTCAGTTGGAATAGTAGGTGCAGCTCAGCAACTATGAAAATCAGGCCCTGGGCCAGATTCTTAGCTGGTGTAAAATGCATGTAGCTTCATTAACTTCATTGGTGCGATGCTGATTTACACCAGCTGAGGATCTACCCCCCCCCCCCCCCAATGGTACATGTTTATCACATGACTTCCATGGGACACCCTTTTTCCCACATAACTTCATGTGCTTTACCGCCATTAAATCACTCTCATCCTTTGGACACTTGCTCTGAATGCACCTTTTATACAAAAATCTCAGAGCACTTGGGTAAGTCTGTCATCCCCATTCTACTGATGGGACAGACTGGGGGACGGAGAAGTTAAATGAGCCCAAGAAAACAACACCTGCGTGGTACCTAGGCCTCATGCTTCTGTCTCTCGCTCTGATCACTAGATGATGTTGCCTCTCCGTGCCACGTGTTCAGATAACAGGGTATTTTCAGCTCTAATGTACGCTGTTGCATTTCATGGATAACGTGACTTTTTTTTAATTTCCTCCACAGTTTATTTATGATGAAATCGTTTCTTGGTAAGTGTATCCAGCTGTCACTTTCTGATTATATTGCAGGAGCTGAAAAATCAGGGTTAATGAGAGCGGGGAAAACTAAAGTTCTGCAGAGCAATTCAGGCACCAATTTCCTGCTCAGCAGGAAACCCCATTAGCAGGTGGACTGGCATAACTCATTTTCTAAGCTAGGGAGGAATGCCCAGGAGAGGTTCATTCAGAGCATCCCCTGATGCAAGGAGGCAGTGGTGTCGGTCTGCACCCTCTGTCCACCCACATACACTCCCCCAGAGGGCAGTGGTGTCTACGTGGGCAGACTGGCATTACAGCATGGCCCTTAGTCAGAGATTTGCTGCCAGGGTGAGGTCAGAGCGACTGGGAAGGGGCAGTGAAAGCCAGAGGGGAAATGCCATGAAACATGAGCATTAGAAAGGTCTTCCAAAATGTCTTCTCTGAGTTTGTCCAAACGTTTGAACTTTTAAAAAGAAATTGAATGGTAGAAAAGTATCTTTGTAATGGTGGTGTTAAAAATAAAATGACCGGAGATAGTATTAAAGGGGCACTGTCCAGTTAAAAATCATATATTAAAATGAATGCATTTACCTGTGTTGTTAATAACCCTGCAGTTTAGTAATGGTGAAAATAGAAAAATCTAATTTACTTTCAGCTGTTTACTGTGTTTGCTGCCTGTCTCTCAGATCGGACAATGACATTAGTCAGTTTAACTTTTGCTCATAGTCAGTTAAACTTCATTTTCAGGTTTTCTATAATGTTTGGGTTACAAATGTTGCAGGGAGTTGGGGGGGTTCATTTGTTCCCCCCGGGATGTTTACTTTTAATGAAATACATCAACGGGGAAGCAGTGCGCTGGACTGTCGGAAACAAGGGAAATGAATTAATATGGTCAGTGCTAAAGCTGAGAGATCAAAAAGCCACAGCCCAACTTAAAAGAAAATGAACAATGAGTCTTATTGTGTAGAACTGTGGTGCTGTTTTTGCTGGAGCTAGTTGTTTGTCACAGTAAACTATACAAAATGTAAGGGTCTGGTTAGAGGGGCGGGGGGAAAACTCCATAGTGAGAAGTATCAAAAGCCACGGGCTGTCTAATTTTAGTACAAATGTCCTTTATTTTGTAGTAGAAACTGCTACAAAAATCATTTCATAACATTTAACTAGCCGTTTAAACCATGCAACGCTGCTTGTCCAGTGCCTGCCAGCTCAGCTGTGGAGCGAGAGCTGGAAAGATCTGGTGCTACCTCTGGTTCAGTCTTTTCTCAGCGGCAGGAGCGCTCTTAAACCAGCTCTGCGAGCTCAATGGGCCTGATTCGCCATTTGCTTTGCACCGTGTGTCAACATTCGCCTTGTGCAAAGTGGGCATAAAATATCTCCACCTGCTCCACTGCACCCCATGCCCCAGGCTGCCCTTCCCGAAAGGTCCAAGTTGCTTAGTGGCTGCACAGCTACATTTTATTTTATTTTTCAATTGATTTTGATTTTTTTTGCCAAGCAGGATCAGAGGAGGAGTTAGAATCCCGGTGCTTTGTGTGCAGCTTTCTGTGTCTGCAGTACAATGTCCAGTGGGTTGAACATTTCCATGTGGGTTTACTGAATGACACAAGCAGGGAGTGCCGTCGGGCACAGGTGACCTCTCTCTGCTCCCCTGTGATTTGTCCCTCATCTGCCTTTGTTTGCAGGTGGGAGTCCCTCGTCCTAGTGCTGATGTACTTCATTTACATCCTGATCATGAAGTAAGTCAAATATGCCCTTGGCCTGTTTAAAATGCAGGGCTCTGCTTTCAGAGTCTGCAGAGGTAATTCCAGAGCAGAAAGAGGCAGAGCAGGGTTTCTGTAATGCCATCTAGCCCAGGTGCTTCTCTAGCTCTAGTGTCTGAGCACCTGGCAATCTTTGATGTATTTATCCTCACAACACCGCTGTGAAGTAGGCCGGTGCTATTATCTTTATAGTGTATCAGTGGGGAAACTGAGGCACAGAATGACCAAGTGACTTGCTCATGGTCATACAGAAAATATGGGGAGGGTCAGAGAATTAAACCCAAGTCTCATGAGTGTCAGGCTAGTTCCCTGACCCCTATACCATCCATCTTTTGTCCAAGAGGCTGATTCCACTGACATGGCGGATGGTGTAACAGAATTACAATCTGTATTTGTTTTAGCATCCAGGACACTTTTTACACATTCTGTTTTATGGACTGTCATGTTTGAGGACACAGAGATTGTTTTGCGTGTAACTAAGCTAGAGCTGTCCTATTCTAAAGCTAGATTTCTTTAAAACCACTGGGCCTTCCTTGCCCTCTAGAATGCTATAGTTTGGTCCTACGTGGTCTGGCTCGAGAAAAGAAGGGCAGTTGAGAAAGCTGCATATAGGGAACAGAGATACAACAGGCGTTTGTTTTCTTTGCATAGGTTTAATTCCTCCATACATCACTGCTTTGAAAGGAAGACAAAAAATGCTGCAAATATGGTGAACGGATTAGCAAATAACACAGAAATGGACGATAACAGCAATTGTGACGCCACCGTGGTATTACTAAAGAAAGGTAACTGTTCCAGTAAGTCACGCTGCTTGTTTGAATCATTCTGAATAATTCTCACTCACGTTTGCTAGTAATTGAGCTACCTGGAATGGTTCTGTACTGTCAAGGATTGAGATGAAAGGGAATATAGAAGAACTGGCCCGTTTGTAACCCACACCACCAGATGGCAGTGTAGTTACAGTGGATGCAGGTCCATTTCCAGTTGTGTGCATCCCATCCTTGGAGAACCCCTTCCCTGAAACTTCTTAGTTTAGGCTTCCCTTCCCTGGGGCAGTGTGCACAGAGATATGCTCCCAGAGAAGAGTGAGAGCACATCTACAAATGATGCAGTTCAGAATTCCATACGGAGCTCTAATTATAGTCGTCATCCAGACAGTGAGCACCATAGAAACCGAGCATATGCGGAAACACAGCAGCAGGAAAACAGCTCGAGTTTTTCTGCTACCCCCAGTTAAAGTAAGGAAGTGGTTGCTCATGCACTTCCTTTCCTGAGCTAGAACTGATTTGCAGTTAGGGAGCTATGCATGTGCGCTTGCCACTGCTGCAAACTAGGGTTTTCCTTGTATTAGACAGCTGTTTCTTCCAGCTAAAATTACTGCTCTGGATCAAGAATTTGAACTGCTGCTGCTCTTCTCAGTCAGTTCCTCAGCTGGTGTAAACTGGCATTAATTTCAATGGAGCTACACCAATTTACAGCAGCTGAGGGTCTGGCCCATTACGTTTGCAAACCTCTGCGTGGACCCTCTCATTTCAGCTCAGGGTTTGTCTACATGGGAGATATTTCCGGTTATCCCAGTATAATTATACTGCTATAGTTATACCAGAATGACCCCTTCTGTGGACACTCTTATTCTGGAATTAGAGTGGCTTTTTTTTTTTTTTTTTTTTTTTTTGTTTTTTTTTTTTTTTTTTGTTTTTTTTTTTTTTTTTTTTTTTTTTTTGCCTTAATTTAAACATCTTCCATATTGACATAAGCTTAAACTGGAAAAAGACCATTCTAATATGTCTAATATTGCCAGGCGTCCAGTTTTCGACCGGAATGCCCGGTCGAAAAGGGACGCTGGCGGCTCCAGTCAGCACTGCTGACTGGGCCGTTAAAAGTCTGGTTGGCGGCCCCAGGTCAGAACCCCCTCCTGCACCCTAACTCCCTCCAAGAGCCCGCACCCCAAACCTTCTGCCCCAGGTTGGAACCCCCTCCCACACCCAACCCCAGCCCTGAGCCCTCTCCCAGAGCCTGCACCCCCTCCCACACCCCAGCCTGAGTCCCCTCTCGCACCTAACCCCTGCCCCAGCCCTGAGCCTGCTCCCGCACTGCAAACCCCTCGCCCCCAGTCCAGAGCCCCCTCATCCCCAGCCCCACCCCGGAGCCAGTACCCCCAGCTGGAGCCCTCACCTCTCCCACACCCCAACCCCCTGCCCCAACCCAGTGAAAGTGAATGAGGGTGGGGGAGAGCGAGCGACAGAGGGAGGGGGGCTGGAGTGAGTGGGGGCGGGGCCTCAGAGAAGGAGCAGGGCCTCAGGACAGGGAAGGGGGAGGGGCAAGGGTATTCAGTTTTGTGCAATTAGAAAGTTGGCAACCCTACTGTAATACCAAAATAAGGGTGTCTACAGGGAGAGTTACAGTGGTACAACTATAGTGCTTTAAATTCGCACCCTACCTTATACTAATGTAACTTCCCTTGTGTAGACAAGCTCTTTGAAGGGCTTATTTCAGTTTAATTTAAACCTGTTCTCAGTTGATTTAAACTAAACAAAAAAAGCCACTAGTTGCACCAGTTTAACAAAATCAATTTAAATTCACACTTTAGATTAAACTGGTGCCACTTTCTCTTGTAGACGAGGCCTGTATAGTGTCTGAAACCATCCTGATTTGTGTGTCTTAATGACAAAGGGAGGTCTCAGGGCAGAAAACCACTACCTCGTGCCTTGTCTATGTTTAATAGTTTTGACACTTAATTATGCCAGTATACTTAAAGCAGCAAAAATACAGGGTGGCTGGTCCCTTTTAAGAGGAGACGGGGCTGAGGCCCCACCTGTGCCAGGATCAGCTCACCTCCTCAGGTGGGGAATAGTCCATGAGGAAGTAATGTGGTTGTGTGATTAGCTCAGGCTAGGCTGGGGACATAAGGGAGGAAAGACAGATTCCTGGCTAGTCTCTGGGGAAGGAAAGTTGTGTGGGAGCCAAACACTCCAGCTAGGCGGGGCTGAGAAAACCACGCAGGATGCTGGCCTGAGAAAGCAAGACTGGCTCCTGGAGGGAATAATAAGGGTCTGTTTGATTATAAGCCAACTCTGGGAAGGAGGGCTAGGGGCTCCTTACTCAAGGAGAGAGGAGAATGAGGGTATGTCTATATACCACAAAGGCCATGCTGCGGGTCATTTATCCCAGTGTAGAGCAATGCTAGCCCATCAGGGGCCCTAAGCAAGAATATTTTTGCCCCGCCCCCAAACACACAACACATACTAAAAAAGTAAATAAAGGGCCCCCTTGAGCTGCTCGGGGCCCTAAGCAATTGCTTAGTCTGCTTATGCCCAGCGCTAGGTCTGCCTGAGAGCCAGAGGCTGGAGCAGAAAGGAGGGAGAAGGCAGGACGGACCTTGTGTCTGCTCCAGCTGCTCAGGGAGCAGGATCTTAGCGTATGCACAAGGTGCCTTGGGCGGACTCATCACCGAATTTGATCAGCTGGTTGGATCATTAGCTTCCCTGGCTTGGGCTGGGTACTGAGCAGGATGAGACAGTCCCTCAGGGAGGAGGGGCAGGGCCCAGCTGAGGTCTGGACGGAAGAGACTTTATTTTTCAGTGTATTTGGTCTCAAAGTAGAACCCCAGCAAGGGACTTTTGCCTTCCGTCTTTGGACTGTGTGGCGTTCTTAAGGGACCCTAAACAAAAGGGGAAATTGTGGTATGGTATTGCAGAGCCCACTGTTTTCCCTCTGGCGCGGCGCGCACACATACAGGCCATGAGGGGGCGCAAAGGAGAAAGCTGATCCTGTTACATACTGGTATAAAAGTGCTTATGCCAATATATTTTATTCTGGTTTGAGGAAGTGAAATAAGCAATACAAGCATATAATTGTGTCTGCGCTGTGGCCTTAACCACCATAGCTCTGTCTGCAGAAAATCACACCCCTTACTGACATAGTTAGGCCAGAAAAAAAATTAAGTGTAGACCAGGCCTTAGTCATTCAGGTAACCAGCTGACATCAGGGTTACGAACACAAATCAGAGCGTTTCGGTTATGGATTTGTTTACGCACGCTTCTTTATAAATAATTCCTTTTTGCATGACATTTCTCGTGTCTGGATAGCTTTTTTGTTTTGAAACTTTGTGGTTACTCGGACAAGTCATTTGAGAGACGAGATGTTTCTTCACTTTTTGAAAACGGTTTCAAAGTTTATCTGGCAATTGGCCACTAGTAGCCGAGAAATGACTGACTGTAAATCTCCAGTGTTGTTTCACACGCTAATCTGCAGTATTAGCTCGCACACCACCCTGTTTTTACCAGCTTAGACAGGAAACTCTTTGGGGCAGGAACTGTGTTTTTGTTCTGTGTTTGTAAAGTGCCTAGCACTAGGGGGCGCTGTTTCATGACTAGGGCTCCTAGGTGCGCCAATAATACAAATAATACATCATACGCTGGACTGCAATTCTATTGCAAGGGTCTCGGGTTTCTAGTCACTTTCTGAGCCTCTGCTTTTCTGGACACACTGAAATAAGAGAGTCATTCTGTATTTTGAACTGCGAAATCTTTTTGGATCATTTTGATTAATTCCTGAGTTCTGCCCGAAAATCGAAAGCCCCGTGGGCCTGCTGTGTTTCCCGCGAGCACCGTTCTTGAAATACAGATTTGACAAAAGTTTCAAGCAACAACAGTTCCGTCATTTTGGTTTATACTAGCATAAAAACAACATCTTTTCCCACTTCAGTAAAAACAAAGCAAATACCCAGGCAAAATGTTTCCTTGATGAGTTAAGGCTGAGAATATATTGTTCTTTGTGGCAATATGGATAAAACAACAACAATAATAGTTATTAATTGTGCACAGATCCCATTGTGCTAGGATCTGTGCAAACACAGAAGCGCACTGCCCAAGGATACAAGAACCTGCATTGAGTTTCCCCTATTGCGCCGCAGATACACAGCAAAAGCTACCTGCCCCAATACATGATGAAATGGTGGGTGAGGATTATATCCTCGTGCATGTAAAGATTAGGCTCTTGGAATCAATGCAGCCAGTACCACAGGCCTAAGCACCAGATGGCATCTACTGCACTGGGACATCTGCTCTTTGGTGTGTAATCATTGTGTGTAGTAAGTGCGTGATAAATTCTTGAGAGTAGGTTAGATTTTGCAATGAAAAGCCTCAATGGTGGGCCAAGTGAGAGATTTATTTCAAAATCCGATTGCTCAAGGACAGAAATGAATGAGAGAAGAGGCCCTTTTGATTCCAGTGTCTGAAGTTGAGTGTCTCACCCTGGGCCCATGAATCTTTATGGTTCACTGAATTCAACCTTTTGAGAACCATGTAGTGTGGGGTGGGAGATAGAGGTCATCTTTCCTGGCCCACTCTTGCCAAATGGTTCCTAAGCTCCTGGGGGCTAGGGTGCTGAGAGGAAAGGGTCGCTCTCTTATGGGGTGGCTTGCAGAGTGAAAAAAAGACGGAAAACCTGTTGCTCTAATGCAAAGTTGACTGTTCGGGCTGCTAGCTTTGAAAAGAGGGAGGATTGTAGAACTCTCTCATTCTGAGAGGGGCCACTGGATCAGCAAGCAAGGTACCTCACCCCTTTCTCTGTTAATTCTCTGCAGGGAATTTCCGTCGTAAAGCCTCGGTGATCATGGTGGACGAGCTGCTGTCTGCTTACCCACACCAGCTTTCCTTCTCTGAGGCTGGGCTCCGGATAATGATCACCAGCCACTTCCCTCCCAAAACCCGTCTCTCCATGGCCAGTCGCATGTTGATCAACGAGGTACGTGTTACTCCTTGCTCCTCAGCCCGAGTCCGTGTCCATCCTGAACTCTACTGCCACAGCAATCTTCAGACTGAAGGGAGACTGACTGACAGGCATTTCTGTGCTCTGATGGAGTTTCTCATCTTCCTCACCCCTGTCCAAGTGTGCTGCTAAGCCATCCCTTGACACTATTCCCTGATGAGATACCTGAAGAGATTGCTTTTTCTGCACAATGTACCAGATCACACTAAATGGCAGAAGAGTTCCATTTCCCTCCCCACAGCCGCCCTCAGGAGAAGATGCTCCCAGACATTGGTCTTATTCTGATCTCACTTACACTGATTCTACAAACACTGTAATTCCACTGACTTCAGTAGACTTCAAATTTACCCCAATGTAATTTGGATTCGTATATGGCCCGTGCTTTCAGTGTCAATCTGTTTTAGATTCCAGTATACTCGGTCCTTCATTTACCGAAGTGATAGTATTTGTGTCAGATCCGAGGCAGGTGTAGATGTCAAATTTACACCAGTTGAGGATCTGGCTCCATATTTTTTAAAACCTGCTTTTACAAAATTCTTCAGATCTCTCCTTATTTTTGTTATCATCTCTTTTTCACCAAGACTTTGTAACTCTGTTTCCAGAGGCAAAGGCTGATAAACAGCAGAGCCTACACCAATGGGGAATCGGAAGTGGCTATCAAAATTCCTATCAAGCACGCGCTGGAGAACGGGACAGGCCCCAGCAACTCCACTGAAAGGGGCGTGAATGGGACCCGAAGAGACGAGGACATGGCTGAGGCTGGAAATGAGACCGAGAACGAGGACAATGAGAACAACGAGAATGATGAGGAAGAGGAGGAAGAGGAGGAGGATAATGATGGACCTTACACTCCTTTTGACCTACCCTGTAAGAAGCTCCTGGGCTTTCCTTGTTTCAGTATAACTCTGAAAACACCAAACAGCATGACAGTTACATTTGAAATTCTAGGTGCTTCTCTGATAACCCCATTACAGTTTAATTCCTCATCATTGCTGAAATGGGATTGTGTCCATCTGGTTTAAATAGATAAGGCCCCCTCCCTTCTGATGGAAATAACAATAGAGTGGAATGTGACAGAACCCAACCAGGCTGCTGTAATTGCGGCAGACACCTAAGACTTGTCTGAACTAGGAAAAAAGGTGTGTTCTTATCTGTGTTATCTAAAACCTGGTAACAACACATGGTGAAAGCCTACTGAAGACAAGGCAGTGGTATTATTAACAGGTGTTAACAGGTCAACGTAAACACCTTTAAAAACTACACACTGCCTTGTCTTCAGTAGGATTTTTCCTCATGTTAGGTTAAATCCTAGTGAAGCCAAGGCAGTGTGTAGTTTTAACAGGTGATAGCCGGTTAAAAGTATAGGGGAGCCTAGGGCCTACATCTACCTCGACATGTTAACCCCTTTTATACTAGTTCACTAACATGAGGGAAGAACAAACCTTTATTCCTAGTGTAGATGCGCCCACGATGAGCTCCGTAGTCCGCCTGGACTGCACAAACAGTCAGAACCGTTGCATTTTATCACCACTTTGCACTGGTATAAACAACTACACAAGATGCAGGACAATGGTGAACCAGACATCAGGGCTTAGTTCTCAACTGCACCAAGCCCCCTTTACGCTCCTCTGGCTGTATAAAGGGGCATTCAAGTGTGTGTGAATATAGTTTACTCCTATTTTATGTCCCTATTTATACTTCCAGAGAGGTGTAAGGGGGTCTTAGTGCAAATGAGCTTTTGGCCCATTATGTTCAATATCCTGAAGTCCTGAGTGTCATTTATACCACTCCAGCAGTGTAGATGGGCCTTAAGTGGGCACATTTGGGGTTTATTTTCCAGTCTTGGTCTCTTGTTCCCCACTTTGACATCTTCCCAGGGCTGCCAACATCCTAGTGTCACCTCATGATGCAGTGCTGCCCTGTTACTGTGCCTTTACCAGCATGCAGTAACACTGTGTGGGTGCAGAAGTTACATCAGTTCCACCCTTTACCACCCTAGTACTAGGTGTGCCAGCTCGGGATTGGCCCTTTGAAAACTGGGATGAATTCCATAAATCTGTGATGAGTGACAACCCTAGGCGCACGCAGACCTGGAGTGCTGCAAATTAGCCAGCATATTCAGCCCCTATAAGGGACTGCTCCTGCCAAATACAGAGTGGTTTCACAGCAAGTCCTTTTCCAGGGCTACTCACCCAGAAAGCCGAGCTGTAGTAGGAGGGTGGTGCTTAAGCAGGGGAAAATGAAGGCTCTAAGAATGCTATCAGAAGGCTGTGTGAGCCAGGGCACTAGATCAGATCCCTCCTTAAAACTCTCTTCTTCTGTGATACAAAATACTTGACAGTAGCTAGGCGGCTGATGTGCTATGGCCATGGCTTATCACAGTAATCGGGATCGTCTCGGTCCCCTTGCATCTCCCTGCCCCTTGTCTTATCCTCAGCTTGTATGTTCTTGGGCAAGGACTGCCTCTTTGTTATGTGTTTTTAGGGGGCTCAGCAGCTCTCGCTGTGAGCACAATACACATAATAAATCCTGCTCGGGATTAAAGCAGAGAGGATGGGGCAGAGATGTATGGTTGTCCCCTTTTGTTTTTGGCAGCTGGCAAAATGGAAATCCTGAAGTGGCTGTTCACCTGGCCACTGAGCTTCCTTCTGCACTTCACGGTGCCCAACTGCAACAAGCCCTACTGGGAAAAATGGTTCATGGTCACCTTTGCTTCCTCTACCCTCTGGATTGCAGCCTTATCCTACGTGATGGTGTGGATGGTATGTATCGAGCCGGGTGGGGAGCTGACTCGGGGCTGGGTCCAGAGTCTGAGGTCAATGCCTTTCCATCAGCATCAGTTCCCATTTATACTACAGCCCCTTTACAGGGGGGGGTTCCAATGCTGGCCCCATTGAAGTCAGGGCAAAACTCCCATTGATGTCACTGGGGCCAGAATTTTGCCCCAGGTTTTTAATTTGGGAGTAAATTCCACTTACACACAATTTAAGGCCACGTTACCACCAGAATAGTGTAGACTGGCCTTAGTGTAAATGAGAATCAGGCTCTTTAATTGCTTTCTCTCTCTTTCTCCATGGAGTAAGCAAGTTTGAAAGGCAGGGCTGACAAACGCTACAGCCCAGCCCCTGCGCATGGTAAGCCATGAAACTCAGCCTTTTGCTGTATTACTTAAACATTCCAAGAGTGCTGGAGTTCCTTCTGTGAGGCATTTTTTTGGGGTGAGAAGACTTGTGTTGTAGATACAGCTCTATTGTCTGTTGTGAGATCTATGTAATTTATCTAGATATTATTGTATTTGAGTAGACACTTGAAAATTTTGGCTTTAGTGTCCAGTTTTGGTTATGTTGTTTGAAGAAATGTATAATGTTTTCTTCCTTAAAGGTTTTTAAGGTCAGGCTTGACAAAGCGCTGGCTGGGATGATTTAGTTGGGGATTGGTCCTGCTTTGAGCAGGGGGTTGGACTAGATGACCTCCTGAGGTCCCTTCCAACCCTGATATTCTATGATTCTATGATTACTGCTCTACTCAATAGGAACTACTTAATCTATTTCTAGCTTGTTATTTAAAAGGTGGTTGGGGATCAATAAAATGAACAGAAGCCATCCAAATGTAATTGGCTTATTCTCTGCAATTACAGTCCTGTGTGCTTGTTAGTTCATTAAGCTGCTGCAAGCCTCATTAGACAATTGGGTAGGTGATAACATCTCTGTAGCCCCAGTTATAATAATGCCAGCAATGCAGCATGGATCATGCTTCCTTTCCAATCCCAGCTGTCTTGAGGAAAAACCAGGCAGTCATGGGGTGCAGAGAAGGTTTGGGGGAACTTGAAATAGAGCCTATGCACTTGTGACTGAGCATCTGAGCATTTGACCACTTATTCTAATTTTAGAACTACAGAAATACATCTAATCTATTTCTAAAGAACTGAACACGCCTTCTTCACTAGAGATCAGAAATTAAAGAAAATCTTCCAGTCCATGCACAGTTAACTCCTGTACTGAATACAAAATTAAGGTCAGGGTTTTCTCTCAGAGCCAAGCCAAAATCTTGCGAAAGAAATTTTAAAGAAAGCCTTAATTCCCTAAACAGGAAATGGAGAGTGACTAGTCTCCCCCATCCCCCCCAAATGTTCATTTGAGAGGATGAACTGTTTTTAAGAACGAGTACCTGTCCAAGCTTTCCAAAGCTGGAATACCAGAAGACACGGGATCTCTGGGTTGCTTATAACATATGGTTCAAATTTGTTAGACTACATTTTAGAGAGCATGGAAATCAAGTATTATCCTGAACTGAACTTTTTTATGTCACTCCTTGCAGGCAGAGATGACCGCTAGTGTACCTTGCATTGATAAGTTCTGTGTTAAGCAAGAGCTTTCAACGTTCCAAAATGCATAGTAATTCAAAGAACACTAATAGATTGTAACATGCATACCGAAATATGATTAGCAGTATCTCCTTTGTGTTAAGTTGCCTGCACTGACTTGAGGCTATACCCCGAATACAATATGCTTATGATATAATTATCTGTGGTTTCCATGATTATTTAACTATTATTTGTATTATAGTAATGCCTAATGGCTCTAATTCATAGATTTTAAGGCCAGAAGGGGCCATCATGATCATCTAGACTGACCTGCACATCACAAACCACAGAACCTCGCCCACCCACTCCTGTAAGAGCCCCCTAACCTCTGGCTGAGTTAAGGACATCCTCAAATCATGATTTAAAGACTTCAAATGACAGAAGCTACGTCTACACTAGAAACTTCAAAGCGCTGCTGCGGGAGTGCTTTGAAGTGTGGGTGTGGTCAGGTGCGAGCACTGGGAGAGAGCTCTCCCAGAACTCCTGGTAACCAGCCTCCACAAGGGGAATAGCTCCTAGCGCTTGGAGTCTGTCCACACTAACGCTTTAAAGCACTCAAATTTGCTGCACTCGGGGAGGGGGGGGGATTTTTCACACCCCTGAGCCAGCAAGTTAGAGCGCTATAAAATGTAAGTGTAGACAAGCCCAGAGAATCCACCATTTATGCTAGTTTAAACCTGCAAGTGAGCGGTGCCCCATGCTGCAGAGGAAGGCAAAAAACCTAGTGAAGCTCAGGCCCGTGTTGTGCTAGGCACCGTACTGACAGTCCCTACCCCAAGTAGTTTACAGTTCAAATAGTCACAGCAGATAAAGGGCGTAGAGAAACGAAAGGCCTTGTGAGGTGAAATGGCTTGTCAACCGTCCGTGGCAGAGCGGGGAATAGAACTCAGGTTTCCTGATCCTATGCCAGTTGCCCTGCCCACTAAACCCCTCCCTCTCTTAATTTTCCCTTTTAAAAAAGTTCTTTTGCATCACCATCAAACTTAGTTATAGAAACTGACCCAGAACATATTGCAATGTAGGGACAAGTTTGATTAGGTTTTAAATGAATTTAAGCCTCTTGACCGTTCCATTTATTTCCCTAGGTTACGATCATTGGCTACACATTGGGTATTCCAGATGTGATCATGGGTATCACATTCCTGGCAGCTGGAACCAGCGTACCGGACTGCATGGCTAGCCTTATAGTAGCAAGACAAGGTAGGTTTGCCTCCTATATCAGCAAACATGGATGTAAAGCATCTCCTACGCGTCCACTGCCTTTTAAGGAGGTACAGAGGAAGTATGGATTGCTAGCCTCCAGATAAGCTTTCCCGATAAAGGGGATGACATGAAAGTGCATCTTCCCTGAGGTGTCCAGATGCTATTCTCAGGGGGTCCAAGCTTTGGAAAAAAAACAAGCTGGGGCTGAAGGGCAAGACATGAGCATTCCCCAGCTCTCCCTTACTAGCTCAACTGGAAAAATGGGTGTGATGTTTAGTGTGCCTGCTACTCGGGTTCTGTAATACAGGGTTTCCAAGATGGGGCATGACGTAAGGGTTTCAAATAAGACTCCAACAGATCTGTAATAGGCCTTTGGACATCCACTCTATTATTCAGAACCATAGGTTTCCAGAGCTATTCTCTGGGCAGGGCAGAATGGGCAGAGGGGCATGACACAGATGAGAGAGAACAGCCTCTGTCCTTCTGTCCTTTTCCGGTTCTTATGCCTCTAGAGGCAGATCATCAGCTGGTGGAAATTCTCATAGCCCCATTAGAGCAGAGGAAACTGGCCCTTGGAGTCTTGTGTTGGTTCCACTTAACATTTGGGGAGGGCCGCTTATATCAAGCAGTCAAATTTGTGGGTGGGCTGGACTACTTTAGTGGCATACTAATATGTCCAAAGGAGCAGCAGGGAGTGGTTCTGAGGAGTGAAATCAACGCTGATTTGAAATTTAATATTTGCAGAGAGCACAGAAGGTTGTCCTAGAACAGGGGTCGGCAACCTTTCAGAAGGGGTGTGCCGAGTCTTCATTCATTTACTCTAATTTAAGGTTTCGCGTGCCAGTCATACATGTGAACGTTTTTAGAAGGTCTCTTTCTATAAGTCTATAATATATAACTCAACTATTGTTGTATGTAAAGTAAATAAGGTTTTTAAAATGTTTCAGAAGCTTCATTTAAAATTAGATTAAAATGCAGAGCCCCCAGACCAGTGGCCAGGACCCGGGCAGTGTGAGTGCCACTGAAAATCAGCTCGCGTGCCGCCTTCGGCACGCGTGCCATAGGTTGCCTACCCCTGTCCTAGAACTAACTTGCCGTCACAGATGATAGTAAAAGGCCATTACTGAATCTGGACCCTGCTTTAGCAGCATAGCCAATGCCAAGCACTCAAAAAAACATGTTTAACTTGAAAATTAAGGATTTTTTTTAATTGGGCTTCTGTTTATTTGCCTTTTGGTTTCTGAGACTTTGGGGGCACTTGAGTCATTTTCTCCAGCTTTTCTCTGCAACCAGGAGGGCTGGACAATTATTTTTAATGAAAACAGATTTCCCATGACTCCAGAAGCTGGAGCTTTAAGAAAAACTGAGTTGGCAATACTGCTTTAGGAGGCCAAGAGGCTGTTTCTTGGTGAAACATACGCTTTCCCAGTATGCCCATTATTTTTTGGAAGAAATGAGCATCAGTTATAAAGAGAGGCCAAATCTAGCTAGTGTTAATCTATGCAGAGTCAGGAGTAATTCAGATGCAGATATTCTTGTTGAAGAGCAAGAAGCCTTTACTGAAACGACTGATTGTATCCGGTTTCCTGTTTCTGCAGGCATGGGGGATATGGCTGTGTCGAACTCCATTGGAAGTAATGTTTTTGACATTTTAATTGGCCTGGGTCTCCCATGGGCTCTGCAGACTCTAGCAGTGGATTATGGTTCATATGTAAGTCCTACGTTTGATTGGTTTTCTTTTTTTATTAAATACAAATATTTCTTTTAGGCTCCTGCCATGTTTTCTGTCAGGTAAAAGTTCTTTCAGTTGAAATTTGAGTGAGCAAATAGCAATACCTATGTATGATGTAGGAAACTATAGTTAATTCTGTCTAGTATTTGTGGCATGAGTACTTTTATTTCCCGTTGAATGCAATAGCCCAAACTGCAATAAGATACCATATTATACTGTATTTTGAATAGATACATGAGAGAGACAGAGGTAAATTGCTTAATAATAGACTGAGAGCTCTACTCTGAAGGGATAAAAATAGAATGATAAAACACATAGATGAAAAAGTTTGGATAGGAACAAACCAGCATAGCTTCTGGAAAGGAAAATCATGCCTCACTAAGCCTTTAGAATTCTTGGAGCATGTCAATAAACTAGTAAATGAAGGAAGCTGTTAAGAAAACTAAGTAGTCACCGGATGATGGGTAAAACACTACCATGGATCAGAATATCACTAACGAGGCAGAAAACAAAGTGTAGAAATAAATGATCCGTTTTCAGCATAGGAGAAACTGAACAGTGGGGGTGCCCTAAGGAACTATATTAAGACCATTGTTGTTTAATAGATCAATTGATAATCTGGAAAAGGGAGAGAATAGTGAGGTGGTTGTATTTGCAAGCAACAAAAAATTATTTAGGTGAGTTAAGACTAGAGAAGACCGTGAGGATCCAGAGCAATCTAACAAAGTTAGGTGACTAAGCAACATGATATCAGATTAAATTTTTTGTTGGCAAGTGCAAGGTGATGCACATAGGAAGGAATCATTTGAACTGCTTCTTAATATTGCAAAATACTAAGATAACTACTCAGGGAAATGACCTGGACATTGTTGTGGATAGTTCCATGAAAATATTTACTAAATGTGTGATGGTGGTCAAAAACCAGAGTGTTAGGGTGCCCATAAAGGGAGAGTATCAGAGACTCCCTCAATTCCTCTAGAGACTTTGTATTGCTATTAATTTTAAATGGAAGACACTAAGATACTATGGTGATCATGTAGATATAGATTGTATCATAACGTATACCCACAAGATGGACAAATTAAGGTTGCCCAGGCAACCTTAATTCTGGCATTTCCTAACATTTGAGTGCTTGACTTTGCAACCTTAACATTCTTTTAATACAGATTTTTGTATATAACATTTGTACAGCTTTACCTGTGGAACAACCTTTTGATACTTGAGCGTAGATCCTCATTGGGTGTAAATTGTCATAGCTTCATGGATGTCATTGGAGCTATAACAATACACCTGCTGAGTATCTGTCCCTTATTGTCTCATGCTCGCCTTCACTTTATATCTTTCTGTGTAGTTGAATGGTGAGGAAAAATTTGATAGCAGGTTTTTTAGTGCCTGGTTCCTCTATCTCCTAGATTACATTTGGTATTTGTTTGTGAAACTGCAGTAATCATTTACGTTTGAGATTATGTTCTGTTTCTTGCGAGGGGGAAGAACAGAGGAATCACTCTTTTTCTGTAATGTGGGAAGTGTTAGAAAAAAATCATTGACTAATTTTTGAGACGTTGGTGCTAAATCTGATCGATGAACAGTGCATTTTTCATACATGTCATACGTTGTAGTAATTATGGAAAATGTAGGGAGAAAAACTGTTGTGTCTAACCCCAAGGTCACCCCAACAGCAATTGTTCTGATATACTTCAAAATAGCTTTTTTAATTATTCTGAGGAAACAATTTTTCATTATGCTTCATTCCTTTGTGGAAGTCAGTAACATAACTTAAACTAGTTTAGAGACAGACACTAGACCGGGTAGTTCTGTTGCAAACCCCCTTTATCTTGTACTTCAGATATTCAGACTAAAGACTTTTGAAAAAGGAAAATGCAGTTTTGAAATCTGACTTTTCCTTTTTCTCCAACGTTTGTCACTGAATGACACAATTACACTATCTCCTTTTAATTCTCATCGTTATATATGTTACCATACCACCTACGAGCCCTAGTCATGGACCAGAACCCCACCATGCTGAGCACAGTACAAACACAGCACAAAAAAGACTGTCCCTGCCCCAAAGACCTTACAAGCTAAGTAAGATTTCAAGGCAGTTACTAAGGGTGCACTTTAGTGGAACCAGCAGCAATGTCTATGCTTCAGGCTGTGAAAGATTTTTCAGTCTAATCCTTTGTTTTCAAGCACATGTAACTTTTTAAAAATTTCACCTTGTGGGCCGAAATGTTCCTGACGACCTGTCTGCCTGAAGGTGACTTGTTTGCAAAGTTGGAACAAAGAGTTCTGATGCTTTCCCTACTAGAAAATGATTCTCACAACATTATTTTGAACATCTCTGCAACTGAAACAGCTGGGGGTTGAAATGTGAAATCAGGCATGGAAATAGTCCTCATTGAGCAGACGTGCCGTTGGATGTTCTGAAGATAGCTGTGTTTGATCTGAGAGTGTACAGCGCCTTGGACAGGGAGGGATAACTCAGTGGTTTGAGCACTGGCCTGCTAAACCCAGGGTTGTGAGTTCAATCCTTGAGGGGGCCACTTAGGGATCTGGGGCAAAATCAGTACTTGGTCCTGCTAGTGAAGGCAGGGGGCTGGATTCCATGACCTTTTCAAGGTCCCTTCCAGTTCTAGGAGATAGGAGATCTCCATTAATTTATTTATTTTAATTTATTATTTACTGAGCAAGTACAGTCCTTTTTATATTCCCACTAACTACTCATGGTCATGTGCTTAAAGTTAAGCATGTGCTTAAGTGCTTTGCAGGATCAGGGCTGTGTTGCTCCAACATCTGTCAGGAAGGAGTCCTTGACACACTTAGTGGTAAAATTCATACAAAATACACTGTGCCTGCTCTGGGAAGGATTGTCAGAGGCACAAATCCAAACAAGCTTTCTTCAGAACAGCCAAAGTGTCTTGACCTGCCTGGCTCATACAGGGGGACTGCTCCTGGGCTTAATTTAAGCATGTGCTGAAATGTTTCACCAGGTTGGGCCCAGAGCGCTCAGCACGTTGCAGGATCGAGCCCAGCGTGCGTGGCTAAGGAGGGCTGTACTGTGCTTCCCTCTTGCAGCAAAGGTTTGCACCCCTGTGCCGGCTCAGCTGGACAAAGTTTTGTGGGGACAAAGTCAAGGCTGTAACCACACCCTGCCCTATCCTTGCCCACCTGCTACAAACGAGGGCTGGCATGGGCCTATGGCATCCACTACCCCCTGCACCCACAGACTTAGGGACAATCAAGACCATAGTGAAAAGTCCATGGGTCTTGTAAAGTGCAAAGGGATTAGGGAGTCCTAGTGAGCAGGGCTTGCACTTGCACGATTGTACCTTTGCTCTGCCACTCTCCAGCGGACCTCGTGAGGGCTCAGGAGAGGGTATCCCTCTTAAGGTGCACAGGAAAGTGCTTTCTGACGGCGTTGAGCCGAACAGTTCCTGATTATGGAATTGACACCCGCCATTGCCAATTCCTGCCAGCCAGATGAGCGTTCAAGTCCTGCAGAGTGAAGCTGCTGCTTCTTCGTTTCATGGGTTTCTCTCCCCGCCTCGTACCCTCATCTACCAAAAAAACCCAACAACCCCAAACGACAACCTGGGAAATTCCTTATCAATGTGATAAGGGAACATTAAAGGCACACAGTCAGGCACTCAAGGGTCAGGAATTGCCAAGAAGGTTTTCCCACCCCCACAAATGCATCCAGGATGAATTCACAAGAGGAACAAAGACACCTTTGCACGTGGATTAAACGTTGGCACCCTATTGGACAATGCCAGTAGGCGTTGTTCATTGCTTTAAGTGAATGCAGTGCATATTACCTGGCATCCCTGAAGATTGCAGTCCCCTGTCTGTCTTCAGGGCATGTTTGTTATTTAGAGGCAGTGTGGTCCAATGGATAGAGTACTGGGGCTCAGGAGACCTGGCTTCTGTTCCCAGCTGTGCCAGTGACCTGCTCTGTGTGTGACCTGGGACAAGTGACTGCCCCTTTCTGTGCCTCTATGTCACCTCCCACCCTTTATCAGCCTTGTTTATTTACATAGGAAGCTCTGTGGGGCAGGAACTTGCTCTTACTATGTGTCCGTACAGCACGTAACCAGATGGGGCCCCAATCTAAGAAGGAGTCTCAAGGATCTGCAGTAATACAGAATCCTAGAAATGTAAGGCTGGAAAAGACCTTGAGAAGTCATCAAGTCCAGCCCCCTGCACTGAAGTCTAATATACAGAGACTATCCCTGACAGGTGTCCATCCAACCAGTTCTTAAACACCTCCACTGGCGGCACTACATTCACTTAAAGCAATAAACAACACTTAGTGGCTTTCAAATATGATTCTGTATTACAACAGCACCTAGAGACCCCCGCCCCACTCAGCTCAGGGACCCCTCAACCTCTCCTGGAAGCCTATTCCAGAGTTTAACTACCCTTATCTGTAGAAAGTTTTTCCTAATACCTAATAAAAGTAGCAGCAGTGCAAGTTCTCCTGCCCCACCCCACCCACATGGCGCCAAGAGAGAGCAAAGGACTAATTAAAACTCAGTACATATCAAAAAGATCTGTGCATCTGTTTCACCTATTCATCGTTTTATGCTTCAACGTATGAAACATCTTCCATGAATAATGATACTTTCGATCTTGACTAAAGATCCAAAGCTAAAGTCTCCGTGTGGAGGAGTAGTGACCTTATGACCGAACTCTGACATTTCACTTGGACTAGGAAAAAAGGCTGGGGTTAAAAACAAAACTAAATTAAATGTAGTAGGGATCAAATTCATTTTTCTAGATCGTAGCTCATCCCTATATTTGTTGTGTTTTTCCTCTAAAAGGGACATACACAAGAGGCTGAACATGAGTAGCCTGCTTTCATCCATGTGTAACAATGTCCTCACTGTTTAATTTATCCCGATTATTTGTTATGCAATGTGGTCACATGTTTAAAAAGCAGTTTTAACAACAACCCTATAATCTGCAATGAGCGTTTCCTC